AGATAGCCACATAGAATGAAACTAGACCCTTATCTCTCACCATGTACAAAAGTCAACTCAAAATGTTACTTAAATGTAAGACCTGAAACTTTGAAGCTAGAAGAAAACATAAGGGAAGTGTTTCAGGACATTGAAATGGGCAACAATTTTTGAGATCAGACCCCAAAAGCATAGCGAACAAAAGTAAAAGTAGACAATTGTGATTTCATCAAATTAAGAGCTACTGTACAGCAAAGAAAACAAGCAACAGAATGAAAAGATAACCTACTGAATGAGAGAAAATATTTGTAAGCAGTGCATCTGACAAGGGATTAATAACCAGAATATAAACAAAACTCAACTAAATAGCTACAAACAAAAATCCAGTTAAAAAGTAGACAGTGAATCTACGCGGACATTTCTCAAAGGAAGACATAAAAGTGACCAACAGGTGCATAAAAATGCTCAGTGTCACTAATCAACAGGGAAATGCAAATCAAAACCACAAGGACATACCGCCTCAGTCCAGTTAGATTAGCTGTTAACAAAAAGGCAAAAGAGAAGTACTTGGCAAGGCTGTGGAGAAAAGGGAACTCTCGTACACTTTTGGTGGGAATGTTAGCTCAGCCATTTTGAGAACCAATATGGCGGTTTCTCACAGAACTAAACACACAGCTATCTTGTGACCCAGCAACCCCACTATTAGGTATCTATCCAAGGGAAATGAAATCAGCATGTCAGAGACACATCTGCACTTCCGTGTTTATTGCAGTATTATTCACAATACCCAGGAAATGGAAACAACCACAGGGTCTGTCTAGTTAGGAATAGATGAGGAAACTGTGGGACATATATACAGAATACTACTCAGCCATAAGGGGGAGGGAATTTTTTCTACCATGGCTGGAATTGGAGGTCATTACGTTAAGTGAACTCCCTTAGCTTTCCCACCTCAAGACGCTGACCTGAAGTGGAAAACGCAGTGATTCTTTTGGATGTCCCACCATTCCTGCACAGCCATCCTCTCTGCCCCGACTCCAGGAGAGTAAAAGTGAAAGTCTTTCAGAGCCAGTCACTGTGCCCTGGGTCCCATCTCCATTCAACCCCTCAGGAGTCAAGTTCCATTGGTGGCCCCATTTTTCCCTGATTTTTCAACCAGCTCTCCCCAGCTCACCTTCAAACCAGTGCCTCTGCTTTTATACTTTCAAGGGCACCCTCCACAGTCACCAGGCCCCGAGGAACCCCAACATCCCTGGCTTCTTCCCCTAGGATTCAGTTAAGTTCCGAGCCCTGTTGATTGTGGGTCCTAAGTAACTATAGTCTGTCTCTTTCATCACCACCACCTAAGTTCAGATCCACATTTCCCTCCTTCCTGGATGGCTGCCACAGCATCCAGCCTACCTGTTTCATTTGGCTCTAGCCTTGCCCCTTGAAATGGGTCACTCTCCCTAAAACTCTGGAGTAGCCCTGCATTGCTCATGGGCAAGGTATCAATCAGCAGGCATGGAACAGGCCCTGGCTGCCTCGCTCGTCTCCTGCCATACAGTCGTTTCTTCCGCTGGTGAAACAGAACTTTCCTGCAGTTCTGCAAGTACACACCATTCCTCTCATGCCTTGTGCCTTTGATTTTCCTAAACGCACCCTGCGCCAGTGTGCACCTGCACACACACACTCCCTTTCTCTCTCCCTCTCTGCCTCACAGGCCTGATCCGCTGAGCTGGCTAAAACCTCCTCAGCACATTGGTTCCATCTTAGGCCTGAGCAGTGCCCTGTCCCCACCTCCACTTCCCTCACCCTTTGCACACTTTCATCAGAGCATTTTTCTTGCTGTGCTTGTAGGAGAAACTGCATGAATTTTTTGAGTTATATCTTTGTATCATCACTAATAAATGTGAATGAATAAAAATGATTGAATAAAGTCACAATGTTTTGATGCCTTCTAGGGGAATAAGACAGACAAAAGGCCTACAGTAAGCAACATTTTACAAATACAGCACAGAATCATGAAGCCAAAGCTCATAGAACCAAGGGAACTTAAGTATGATTTTTAGATGCAAAAATTCTAAAAGGAATCCAGGTAAACCTTGTTTCAAATATGGAATTTTATAGTAAGCTTCTAGTGCTGCAAAGCCTTTTTCTAGAAGTTTCCAGGAAAGCTACATAGTACACTACCTTCTAAATGATTTTAAAATTTATTTGAAAGAGTTAGGTGGAGAGAGAGGGAGAGGGATGGAAGGAGGGAAGGAGTATTCCCTCTGTTGGTTTACCCCCCAAATGGCTGCAACCGCCAGAGCTGGGCCAATCCAAAGCCAAGAGCTTCTTTGGGTCTCCCACATTGGTGCAGGGGCTCAAGGACTTGGGCCATCCTCCACCACTTTCCCAGGCCATAGCAGAGAGCTGGATTGGAAGTGGAGCAGCTGGGACTAAAACAGGTGCCCATATGGGATGCCAACACTGCAGGCTGCATGCCAGGGCTTTAGCCTACTGTACCACAGTGCCGGCGCTCTAAGTGATTTTTAAGATTCATTTATTTGAAAGGCAGAGTTAAAGAGAGAAGAAGAGACAGAGATCTTCCAGCCACCATTTTACTCCCCAGATGGCTGCAACAGCCAGAACTGGGCTAGGCCAAAGCCAGGAGGAGCTTCATGCTGGTCTCCCACATGGGCAGCAGTGGTCCAAGCACTTGGGCCATCTTTCACTGCTTTCCCAGGTGCATCAGCAGGGAACTGGATCAGAAGTGGAGCAGCTGGGACTCAAATCAGTACTCACATAGGATCCTGGCATCACAGGCAGCAGTTTAGCCTGCTGTACCACATGCCAGCACCTCTAGGGGCTGGTATTATGCACTGCAATACCGGTGAGTAATGAGCTCCTAGCCTGGGAAAGCAGAAGATGGCCAGAGTACTTGGGCTCCTGCCACCCATGTGGGAGATCTGGGTGGAATTTCAGGCTCCTGACTTCCACCTGGCCCCACCATGGCCATTAGGGAAGTGAACCAGTGGATGGAAGATCTCTGTCTGGGTCTGGCTCATTCTAACTCTGCCTCTCAAAAATAATCTTTAAAAATAAACAATAAAAATAAAACATCTCAGGATAGCTTAGGATGCCTTTAACTTTAAAAAGGTGCCCATGTAATTTCCTAACAGTTGTTTTCTGAGCTCCATGTATCTTTTAATTGTAACGTGGGACTTGCTCTGACAGTTAAAACCCTTTCTTCAGCGTCTGTCTTACTAGTAAACACCTTCGTCACTGTGGCTCTCAGGAAGGCGAGAGAGAGCATTAGTTCTCTTCTGACATCTAGAACTCAATACTTTGTCAAAAATCTTTCCGAGTTATAAACAAAACACCATCCACTCTGGTTTTGCTCTCCTAATGCAACTTTCAGACATTCTATCATAAGATAATTGGCCATGCTATTTCACTAGTTCCCCTCAAAGTGAGATTGCTTGTTTTATCCATTTTTTAAAAAAATATGTATTTGATAGGCAGAGTTAGAGAGAGGGAGAAGCAGAGAAAACCGTCTTCCATCGATTGGTTTATCCCCCAAATGGCTGTCTCTGAGGAACATTGACGGACACAGGGACATCACAGAGTATCTGACTTGATCCTGGGCTCTGCCTGAGCAACTCCAGGAAACGCTTTCAGGTTACAGGCTGTGAACGTCACTAACGATCCAGAAGCAGCTGTGTCTGCATTCCTGACCTTTTTCCGTGAAGGACATAGGTGGGATTATGGCTTCCTTTTCAAAAATGAATGTGAAGTTTACTCAGGCTCACTTGGCAGCAACAAGCCCCCCAGCGGATACCTACTGGGAATGAGCTCCAGGTCATCCATTCTAAGACTATTCCAGAATATCTTTAATTGGATATTTGGCCAATAGTATTTTTAATTCTGATATACCATGTATTTCAGTGACTCTAATGTGTACATTTTACCTTTTAATATCTCTGAAACTGGATTTTATCTTGGAATCAATGGCTTGTCTAAGTTGACATGATTGTTCAGAATGGAATAAGTAATGGTATGCCTTAAGTTTGGAGCATGTGTATCTTAAAATCATTTTTCTTTCAAAGGTTTAGTCAATACATTAATGATTGTAAAAATGACAGTCTTAACTGACTTTCATTATTTGCATAGCAATTTTGGCAGATTTTTATGTTGGAATTAAATATTTTGTGATTTTTATTCTTACTGTTTTCTGCAGAAGGAAATCATATATGTGTGTGAAATTATCTTAAGTGGATCTAACTTGTTACAGATTAATTCCTTTTACCTCTCCCTTTTATTTCTCTAGTGCATTTTCATACAGATATATTCAGAGTTGTTCTGTTTTTAATGTTTGAGGTTTGGATTCATTTGCTTCTCTTGTCCCCAATTTTTTTTTATCCAAGTTAATCTAGAATGCCTTCTTTAAAAAAAAAATCATTTATTTGAAGGGGAGAATGACAAAGAGTTCTTTCCATGGGTTCACTCCCTAAATGGCTACAACAACCAGGGCTGGGCCATGAAGCCAGGAACTCCATCCATGTCCCCATGGTTGGTGGGTACCCAAGTACTTTCTCAAGGACATTAGCAGGGAGTGGGATCAGAAGCAGAGTAGCCAAGACTCGAACTGGGGTTCTGATATGAGATGTCAGCATTGCAGGCAGCAGCTTCACTTGCTGCCCCGAAACTCTGGCTTCAGTATCTTCTCATTTTTATGCTTAAAGACCTATAGGTATCTTGGGGCCAGCATTATGGCACAGTGGGTTAAGTTGCCACTTACAATGCCAGCATCCCACATCAGAGTGCTAGTTCAAGTCCAATTCAGTTCCTGATAATGCTGCTGGGAAAAAGAGCAAATCAGACCCTGAAAAAACTTTAACTGCTTGTCAATTTCACTCAACTGGAGTTGATCTAAATGTTGCCATATTTCATTTTCATTACTAACTGGCTTATACAAGTATACTAGAGCTTTGAGATGAAACGTCTTCATCCATTGGTTTCCCCTCTTCCTCACCTTGCCACCATTCTTTTTTTAGGTCCATACATTCCGAGGGCCACACTGGTGTGAATACTGTGCCAATTTCATGTGGGGTCTCATTGCTCAGGGAGTGAAATGTGCAGGTAAGAGCACTTTCTGCATCCGTTGATGGAGTCTGTTATAAAGTTAGGAGCAGGGTACACAGAGATTGGTTATTATGCACATATAATAGGCAGGATCCTAGTTTGGTCTTACGCACACACATTACACTGGATTGTCAGGCAGCCGCTTTGGAATATATTACCTGCCTATAACCTTCTTGCATTTGATGGGCAGCAAACTAGGGAACTGGTCTTTAGTCTACTAAAGAGAGAAATCAGCCTTTTGCAAAAAGTCTGATAAAGAGATATGAAAGTTAAGCAATTATATTCAATAGTTGCCTTTAATGTTGCAGTAACTAAATTTATAAGAATTTTTTTTTTACAAAAGCAGTTTACAGGGCCCTATGATTGTTGCCTAGGAAACTGAATTTTAAAGACAACTTGTCAAACTGAATTGTTCTCACTAAATTTTTGTGGAATGAAATTGAAGCTTTAAAAATTCTGTGAGTTTATCTTCAAACATGGTTACCAACTTCCAAAAAAACACCTACTCACTAATATTTTCTTTGTGACATTTTGAAATCTTGACTATCAAATCCTTTCTGTAAAATGTAATCATGGTATTTTAGGCTTAAATTCAGAAATGTTAAGACTACACATAAGGAAATACCCAACTCAAGGACTTACTAAAATACTTTGTGAAATAAAGTAATTATTCATGTTGTTTGAAATTCGTTTCTGCATTGAATACTGGCCACTTACCAAGTGCTATAAATTCTGTCATAGCCTTAAAAATAATCATCTGAATTCTAAATGTATAGTTCATAAGTGTCTTTCTTGCTATTTAATTCATAAAGTGAAAAAAGTCATCTTCCCTGTCTTTAGCATGCAGCCTTAGACTAAAAAAAGTACACTAAGTATTTCAAAATGGTACCTGTGTTAACTGTCAGATTTATCACTGATAGACCCTCATTTCTCTTGTGGCATGATTTTTAAGTGGAATATTTGTTGTCTATTATGTGTAGCACTCTCTCCAGTCCGATTTGTCTTGTTTCTAATTTGCATTTTCTTGGAAGCTGCAATATGCATTACTTCCGAATGTTCCCAGTCTCTGCTCTCAGTTATTCCCTCAGCATCACTCAAGTGCGGTACGGTGCCAGGCGTGTGTCGCCACCAGGCCCTGCCACAGGGAGGAGTGGGGTGAGAACTCCACAAGCAGAGACTTGGAACTGTGCAGAGTTGTCATCTAGGAGAGTCTCAGCTCAGAGTCCAATCCAGCAGAACCTCGCTGAAGTAGGAACCCCTGGCTTTGCAAAGGCAAATAGAGAACGGTTTCCAAGGCACAGATCGCCTGCTCTTGGAATGAGGGTCTTGAATCAACTGGATTTGCCTTTCTGAGAAAGCCTGGGCCAGCTTCTTCCTCATTTTAGGACTGTCACGAACATAAGCTTTTCTTTTGCAAGAGTAGTGATGTGTATCATTTATGTTTTTAAAGAGTGAAGGCCATCTTAGTAAGAATTCTGAGTCAGCTATTAGCAGAGAATACTTGAGAATAATCTTTGGTAATATTACATGTGGCAATCCCAAATCACGTTTGAAGGAAATGTTTTGGGACATTTATTACCGTAATAGTGTGAGGGGAAAAAAAGGAGAAAGGAAGTGATTCAGCCCCATCCTCACAGCTGCCCACATTAATAGCCTCTACCTCTTACTGAGAGTGAAGGTTGGGAATTGAAAGAAAAGCCTTGAGGAGATTTTCTTTGTGTATTTTAGCTTGTCCTTAAAAGCATTATGTTCTATGCGACTTGAACCAGATTAATGTATAATAAAAGCACAAGTTCAAATTAGTTCTGTTTTCTATGACAACTAATTAAATTTGGGTTGACAATGAGATTCTTAGGTGTAAAGGGACTCAGGCTCATGTGGCTTTTGAGCCATCTACTCTATCTAAAACAGAATGGACAGAATTAAGAATTTAAGGAAAGTACCTGTTCACTGTGGAGGGCTGAGTAGTGTCCCAAAGATACCCACTTGCCAGTCCCTGGAACCTGTGGACGTACTGCCTCTCACGATGCAAGGAACTTGGCAGGTATGATTAAATCAAGGATATTGAAACAAGGGAGGTGACCCTTGATGTTGGGGCGGACCATACGGTCACACTCACAAGGGAACTTGTAGGAGGAAGCCAGGAGGATGAAGGTCACAGAATGAGGCGGCAAGGACAGACAGAAGCAGGGGTCTGAGAGAAGATGCCATGCTGCTGGCTTTGCAGGTGGAGGAAGAGGCCACAAGCCAGGGACTGCAGGAAAGCCATTAGAAGCTGGAACAGGCGAGCGGATAAACAGATTCTCCCCCTACCCCTGACTTTGACTTCCTGCCCCCGGAACTGCAGGATCATACATGCATGTTGCGTACAGCACTGAGGTGGTCATTCCTTAGAGCAGCAGTGGGAAACCGACTCACTAGCCACTGACATCGAAGACATTTCCAAAGAAAAATGGCAGGATGACAGGAGCCTTGGGTGATTACTAACATCATAAATAAGAGTGTCAGTTGTTAAATCAACAACGGGAGTCACTGTGCACATGCTCCTCACGTAGGATCTCTGTCCTTAATGTGTTTTACTATGAGAGTTACCGATAACACTACTAGTCGAACAGTACTCTTCATCTTGTGCGGTTGGGTGGGTGCAGTCTGTTCAAATCTTTGCTTAGTATATACTAAGTTGATCTTCTGTATATAAACATAATTGAAAATGAAACCTGACGAAGAGTGGGATGGGAGAGGGAGTGGGAGATGGGAGGGCTGCGGGAGGGAGGGAGGTTGGGGGGGAAGCCACAACAATGCAAAAGTTGCACTTTGTAAATTCACATTTATTAAATTACAAAAAAAACTTAAAGAAAAATGGCAGGCTCACTGCCTATCAGAAACAGATGGATTTACCTCATTTAGATCTCTAACACGGTTTGCTTAGCTCTGGCTTCTTTTTTGAAAAATTCACCAAGGCAGAAGAGAGCATCTCAGGAATTTTTTTAAGCAGTATTTGCTAAAAGCAGCAATTTTTTATCCCACCCACTCAGCCCCCCCTCCTTTTAAAAACATCTGTGAAAGTATTACATGGGCTCCCAACCACAAAGTTGGCAGAGTTGCTGTAGGACTCAGACTTGATAAAATAACAGATAAGCTGTCCGATGGGGCATGCACAGCACAGACAACATGGACAGCTAAGAGGGTAGCAGGGACAGCCATGAGAACGAAGGGCTTTATCAAAGCTCAGCAAGAACAGGTGACAGAGGAGACGGTGAACAGTCTTGTCTACCGTGGTCTCCCCCCTTTCTCAAGCCCCTTTAAAGAGAGTGAAATAATGTTGCAACGGAGTAACTGCAGCCTGGGAGGGGTGCTCCTCTTGCTAAAACATTTATGACCCAAGTAGGCGGCCTGTACCAGTGAAGTTCAAAGGATGGCTGTTGTCCAGAGAGATGAGCTTCCCCAAACTTTTTCCTCTCTCTCTGAAATGTAAGCTTATAGGCTAAAGTAATATATTATCCTGTCATCATTGAGGTTATCAAACATCCTTCTTCAAAGAAACATCATTCCATCAGCATTCCTGAATTACTTTCACTTTAGCTTTGTCGGAATATTCTAGGAAATTAAGGATAGTTACTGTTTTAAGTCAGACACTTCAACTTTTTTATTGGTTGTAAAGGTGCCTTCCTGTTTTCAGTGTTTCCTATCATTGCTGTCCCCAATCAGAATGGCAGATGTTAGTTCCCAAAATAGGGTATAATTGGCCGGCGCCGCGGCTCACTAGGCTAATCCTCCGCCTAGCGGCGCCGGCACACCGGGTTCTAGTCCCGGTTCGGGCGCCAGATTCTGTCCCGGTTGCCCCTCTTCCAGGCCAGCTCTCTGCTGTGGCCCGGGAGTGCAGTGGAGGATGGCCCAGGTGCTTGGGCCCTGCACCCCATGGGAGACCAGGAAGAAGCACCTGGCTCCTGGCTCCTGCCATCGGATCAGCGCAGTGCGCCGGCCGCAGCACGCCGGCCGCGGCGGCCATTGGAGGGTGAACCAACGGCAAAGGAAGACCTTTCTCTCTGTCTCCCTCTCTCACTGTCCACTCTGCCTGTTAAAAAAAAAAAATAGGGTATAATTATTATTTCAAGTATACAAGTATTTAGCTTTCAGGTTGAAGAACAGAAGTAGGAGTGGTGTTTTGTTTTTAAGATGTTAGTTATTTGAAAGATAGAGTTACAAAGGGAGGTAGAGACAGAGAGAGAGGTCTTCCATCACTCCCTGATGGCCACATAGCCGGAGCTCAGCTGATCCACAGCCAGGAGCTTCTTCTGGGTCTCCTATGCGGGTACAGGGGCCTAAGGACTTGGGCCATCTACTGCTTTCCCAGGCCGTAGCAGAGAGCTGGATCAGAAGAGGAGCAGCCAGGACTAGAACCAGCGCTTATATGGGATGCCGGCACTTCAGGCCAGGGCTTTAACCTGCTGTGCCACAGCGCCAGCCCCAATGTGTTTTATTTTATTTACTGCCTTGATTTTACAAGTTGTAGTCATCTTTGGAAGTCAGTGAGAAATTGACGAGTTGCTTAGAAGTTCCAGGTAGCTCCTTTTAGTTGAAAGAAGTATTTTCACATACTCCAAACAAAATATTCTTAATTTTGCTTAGGAAAGTAGTAACTTCTAATATGTTTTAGAACATTTGGGTGGGGGGGATGGCGCATAACTAAGAGATGTTTAAGAATATAAAACTTCTTGGGCCGGCGCCACGGCTCACTAGGCTAATCCTCCACCTAGCAGCACCGGCACACCGGGTTCTAGTCCCTGTCGGGGTGCCGGATTCTGTCCCGGTTGCCCCTCTTCCAGGCCAGCTCTCTGCTGTGGCCCGGGAGTGCAGTGGAGGATGGCCCAAGTCCTTGGGCCCTGCACCTGCATGGGAGACCAGGAGAGCACCTGGCTCCTGCCTTCAGATCAGCGCGGTGCGCCGGCCGCGGCAGCCATTGGAGGGTGAACCAATGGCAAAAGGAAGACCTTTCT